ATCAAGTTTTGTCACACTCGATGGGATAATCACACCACTCAGACACACACATCCATCAAAACATCCATTTTCAAGTGACGACACACTTGTTGGTATGGTCACACTTGTCAAACTATGACATTCACTAAAATAGCGTCTAGCAATTAATGACACACTTGATGGGATATCAACACTCTTCAAACTTGTGCACGAATAGAAACATTCTTCACTAAGTGATGTTACACTTGTGGGTATTGTTATACTACTCAAACTGCTGCACCAAGCAAAACAATGATAACCGAGTGATGGCACACAATATGGTATAACCACACTTCTTTGACTGGTGCAATCACTGAAACATTCACTACCAAGTGATGTCAATATTAATGGTAGTACCACATTACTGAGACTACTGCAATCACGAAAACAATATTTGCCAATTGATTTCACATTTGATGGAATCTTAAAACTTTCCAAAGTTTTATATTTATCAAAACAGCCATCTTCAATTGTTGTTACATTTAATGGGATGTTACTGCTACAATTGGTATTGTAGTATTCTGAGTAGGTCACACATTTGAATACAAAGTTGCGATTTTTGTTTTTGTTAAAAGTGTTATAATCAACACTAAACCACACTATGATCCGATAAAACGTTTTTTCTATTTCAGTTACTATATCTTCGTTGACATCTTCATATTGTTCATTGTCTGGACTTTATATCGATCATATTTCGAATTTATGTTGTCAACAAATTTGTTGCCAAAGTTCTCATCTTCTTCATTCCACAAATGAAGTGTTTCGATATTTGGGAAGTATTTCACTATTATGTAATTTAACGGAATTGGGTTAAAATGAAACTTTTCCATATTACTTTTGAACTTTTTGCATACAAATTCAAGACGAATAAAGTCCTTAATGGTTTCGAAATACTTTGAGACAATCATGACGTGATAGCTATCAAGTTTGGACATTCTGGTTATGGCATTTTATTTTCTGTTTAAATATATTTTACACGTTTTTGTGTTAATTAAAACTAAATGTTCAATCAAAATTTACTCATTATTTAATATACAAATATTTATTGTAATAATACTGATAAGTGTAGTAAAATATAAATATTACACACATTATTCTAATTTATTGTGAATAAATTTTATTATTGTTGTTTTGTGTAGTTAAAAATAATGTATATTCTAATATTTTGAAAAAATGATTTGTATCTTTAACGAAACAATTATTAATCATCTTTGTTTTCATTTAAAATTGCCAACTTTATTTGAAAAATTCTCTCGTGAAATGTTAAACACTTCAAATTTAAAAAAGTTGATAAAGAAAAATATAAATGTTAATGTTAAAAGGTTATCATTTATTCACATTTTAGATAATTTCATTACGAATGTTGATATAAAACGTTTTTTATTTATAGCTAAACTTATATTTTCGAATAAAATAATTTGAAAAACATAAATATTATTATAATGTTAATATGTAACATCATTATGAAACTGAAAAATATATCATAATTTATGATACTTAATTTTAAGTATATTTAAATTTAAGCTTGTAAAAAAAACATTATTTTTTAAGTAATGGTAAATTATGTCAATTAACAATAAAAACTAAAATTGATTAATAAAAAACAATTTAATTTTAATTCAACAGTTTAATGGCAACTCTTTTACATCACACATTTTGTTTTAGCTAAAATAAATAAAGGTTTTTAACTTTTATGAAATGAATATTCTCCAAAACAAGTTTTTGATAATATAAATTATGTAAATTAAATTTTAATAATCAAAAAATGGTTGTCATAATTTAATTTATTGTTTTTATTGATATGTAAACTTGTTTCATAAAAGCGTCATTTTTTCAGTTACGATTTTATGAAAAATATGATAATAATTAAAAATAATTTAAAGTACTTTGGTCATTTGTCTTGCAATATTTTTGTAATTTTTTCTTGAGCACAATTTCAACCATTCACTATAACTTTCAACTTACTTGTTAATATTTTTGATGTATTTTTTACAAACAACATGACACACTATAAAAATGTTTTCATTACTTGTATCATCTATTTATTATTTATATTTCAAATATTACTACAAATGCTCAATTAGATTTAAGTCACAACTCGGAGCTGGCCAATTTTTAATGATAAAACGTTTTTATTATTCAAAAACTAAAGTGTACAGTAAAAACTTTAAAGAGTGGGCTGGTGTGGTAATTTTGTTTTTTTTAAAGTGGGAATTTTTAGCCAATCAAACCTTAATTACCGCTCTATAAAAAACTTTATTTTTAGTTTCATTGAAAAAATACCATCTTTTGAGAGAATCCGTTTTTGAAAAGTTTTAATGTATTTTGATTTGTGCACATTGGTGTTGTATTTCATATTTTTTTCCCTTTTGATTACGTTTTAATTGTTTCATTTTTATTACTGTATTGCTTTTATAACGTTTTGATTATTATGGAGGTTTAATACTAAGTTGATTAAAATGTAAGTATATTGTATTGTTTTATAATTCCTATATTGATACATATCTTTATATTTTGCTTTTTATATATTATTAAGTCAATAAATGTTCGATTTTGTCGAAATTTCTCTAGTTATCTAATTTATATCAACACACTTATCTTCAAAATGAATGAAACGATATAACTTTTTAAGGTTAATTTTTTGATAACCGACGTATTTTCAAGTAAGTCACTCCAACAATAATCATTTACAAATTGACATATCATGATATCATGAAAACTTGAAACGTTAACTTATTTTTTTTTCTTCAAATTTGTTTATTTTATCATCTGTAATTAATTAAAATACCAAGTTAAAATTTAACTAAATTTTAATGATCAACATATTTACTCAATATTAACAATTAATCAAATTACTTTATTAAATTAGACTGAATTACGTCAATTATATCCAAAACGTATTTTGATATAAATATTGAAATACATTTTACTCAATATTTTAATCATAATAAAAATGTGAAACGATTGTTTTTATTTTTTAGTGTTAAAAATGATTTTCTTTGTTTCTAAAAATAGTAAAAATAATGACGATTTTATGGATAAGGAAAAATAACAGGGAGATAAAATAAATTTCAAAATAATAAAGAGGTCATACACTTTTTTGTTTCAATTTAACATCAAAAAATTATATTTTTCATATAACCACACCTAATGAAAATATATAAAATTTAAATATCTTAGGTAAAAATTGCAATTTTTACCTCTAATTGAGGGTAATGACGAATTAATGAAAAGAGTTTATATATTATATAATTATATAAATCCACTAATAACTAAATGCCAACTAAACTGAATTATATATTAATTCAAGTTTATATATCACTTCTTTAATACTACATCTCTTGATTGGATCACTGTTCCAACAATTACTTATTATATCAAATAGACCTTGACTCATTTCATCGGGTTTTGGTAATCTATTGCCTCTAATGACATATTCAGCTATTGTCCACGGAAACTTAAATTTTTGTTTTGGGTACGCATGAACCCAATTTAGACATTCAAACATAGTAATTGCCAACGAATAAATATCTGCACTTTTCTTGTATTTTTCTTGTTGCAAAATTTCGGGTGCCATATACACTGGAGTCCCGACACCTTTAGTAAATGTCATGTTAGTCATCATCATATTCAAATTTCGACTTGACCCAAAATCAGTCAATTTTGAATTAGCCTTGTCATTAACATTAAAAGTGAACACAAGAATGTTGTCTGGTTTAATATCTCTGTGTAAAATTCCATTTGTGTGTAAATAAGATATTCCTTTTGATGCATCTAAAACAAATTTAACTTTCATTTTTAGTTGAATATCACTTGTTGTGTATTTTTTCATAACGTCTTGTAAACTCCCATAGTGAGCCAATTCAGTAACCATGCAAATTTTATTCGGAATAAAAACAGCGCCATAAAAGTGGACAATAAAGTCACATCTAAATTTGTCAAGCATTGAAACTTCCTTTTCAAATTCATTAATTGAATTTTCATTATCAAAATTTTTGTTATTTCCACTTTGTTTCATCTTCTTGATGGCAACTGTGTTTCCTCGGTATGTGCCTTTATATACAATTCAAACCCTCCTTCTTTTAATTTGGTCTCTTCAATCAACTCGTCGTAGTCTATTCGAGTCGATTGATTTGTCACTCCTTTCATTATTATATCATTCATGTTTTCAACGTTAGTTGTCAGATTTTTAGAGACAATACAAATTTTGTTATTAATTTGACATGTGCACTTTGGTGTTAAATATATAGAAAATTCACAGGCATAAAATGGTTTTAACATGACTACTTCTGGTAATATTCTCAACTCAAATTTGTCATATTGTGTTGTTAATGTAAACTGAATTTTCATTGTATTTTTGGATGTGTTGCCAACACAGAACACCTCTTTAGTCTCTACATCAACAAGAATTTCTTCAATTTCAGAATTAAAATTAATTTCCATTGAAGAAACGCAAATGTTGTTTGCAAGTGGAACAAATTTTACATTTGATTGTTCCATTTCAAATACTGTTGTTGTTTTTTCGATATCATTTGTGTGCATTTTCTTCATAATGTACTTCATTAATAATATAATTGCTATTATAACAATTATTAATATTAAAACAATAAATAGAATGATAAGTAGTATGACTCACCAAACTGTTTTCTTTTGGCAATAAGTCCCATCAAAACTTGGTGCATTCCAAAATGCACATTTTGTACATTTTGAGTCTGTTATTTCGTTGCAGTTTGATATTTGAGAGAGTTTCACACAATAACAATTTTAACTATATTTACCACAATCGTCTTTAATTTGTAAATATATATTCTAGAGTCATAACAAAACAGCTTACTATTATTAATATGTTTGCACCTATTACTTTTTATACAACTTTTCACTTTTTTCCAGTAATAAGTCCCTATCTTATTAACTCCCCTTATTTATAGATGTTAAAAGCAGTTGTTTTCCCCCACTTAAGTGGGATTAAAGTTTATTTGAGTTAATATTAAACATAAA